CTTTAAATTTCAGATCAAAAAATTCAGAATCTTTTAAGTTATATAAATAATTTTTGCCCGTATTTTTTTTTTTTTTCCAAAATTTCAGTAGGCACAAATTTTGTAATTTTGTCGGGAGGCACAAATTTTATAATTTTGTCAATTTAAAAAAATTTCTTTTTATAAAATATTGAATCAAGTTGCAAAATAATATTTTTTACATTTCAAGATATTTATTTTTAAAACAAAAATAAAAAATAAATGAACAGAGAAAAAAGTGTGCGTTTTAAAGTTTGAAAAATAAAATTAAATATAAAAATAAAAAAAAAAAAAAATAAAATTTTTTTTTTTTGCTAATTCGAAATATATTGAATAATGTAATTTTAAGTTAAATTCAAAAAAAAAAAAAATAATAATTTATAATAAATATTAAATATGAATGATTATAATAAGTGAGGAAAGTGTTTAAAATACAAAAAAATTAAATTTAAAATTATCATTTATCGGAAAAAGATATTTGAAACAAATAAAATAAACTTTCCATTTCCTCTTTTATTTTTAGAAAAAATAAAATTAAACAAAAAAAAAAAAACAAAAACCAACCGTACAGATTTATATTAGTATAGAAAATATTATGCATTACAATTTTTTCTTATATAGGACTTGTAACACACACACAAAAAAAAAACACAAAAAAAAAAGTACATTTTATATTTATAGTTTTATATTTTAAGTTCTTTTTTATTTTTGTTCTTTATAAACATTATTAAAAAAAAAGAAACAAAACAAAATTAAATTTAAAGTAGAATAATTTTTAAATTAGCCTAATTTTTTTTTGTACGGAAAAATTAAAATATTAAAAAAAAAATATTTAATTTGAATAAAAATGTAATCGATTGATGAAAAGAAAATAAAAAAAAAAAATTAAAAAAAAAAAAAAACAAAAACAAAACAAAATTGAAAAAATAAACAAAACAAATATTGTGTAATAAAAAATTTAATTATAAAAAAAAAAAAAAAAAAAAATTTGTTTTTCTTCTTTCTTTTTTATAATAATTATTAATAATTAAGCAAATTTCTGTACTCTTTTTAGATTGCCTCTCAAAATGGATTTAAATGGTGCAAGTATATCCTTCAGGTGGCCCTATTGCAATAAAAAGATTTGCCAAACCGAAAATTCCTGATGAACGTAAAGTTTTTATAAATTTTATTTTGAATGAATCATTTTGACTTTGGGCTTGGATATAATCGGAAAGTAATCAAATTCAGCATCGATATGTAATAGATTTTGAGTTGTTAATAATTTCAATACCAATACCAAACACCAAAAACCATATATGATCTTGAAAGTATCCTAAAATGCAAAATAATATGGCATCAGTAAGATTATAATGCATCACATTAGTATAACATCAGCAACGTTTTTTTGCATCGACGCTGCATTGATGCAATATTTCGATTACTTTCCGATTATTCCTTTTTTCGGTATTTCAGTTTTTAATTAGATTTGACTTGCAATATGTTTTTTATTGAAGAACTGCAAATTTTAAAGTATTTGTTTGCATGCATGTTCTCATGCTGCAAATAAAATTTTGAAAAAAAAACTTTAACATATGAGCAGTTTAAAAAATTTCATTGCGAAAAGTGTTTTTTAACCATTTTAAAATGTCGGACATTAAAGATTTACTGAAGTAAATTGTTTAAATTTTTTAGTTGATTTGAAATTTTATCTTTTTTTTTCATTTGAAATAAATTCGCGCTCCTTTTTTTTAAATTCTTTATCTGACTTTAATTCTTTATTTGTGCATCACACAAAAATGGTAGCGTCATTCTTTGTAGTACTTCAAATATTGCAAAAAAAAAAAAACGTTTTTAGTTCTGATTAAGAAGTTCCAATATATCATGTAGTACCGAAAAAGCCCTTTTTATTTTCTTTTATTTTTTCCTATTAAATCCTATTTGCGGAATTTTAGAAGCACAAACTACTAAATGAAATAGACAAATAAGCTTATTGTGCATAACCGCATTCTTAAATTTGTTGAATTCTCTTGAACTGGGGAAATCGCTTACATTTGGTAATATGTGTTAGAAAACGAATTTATTGGACAATTTTTTAAACGTAATTGCAGTTTCCTTCTATTTTAAAAGTAAACTATTACAATAAAATTCTTTATACCTTGTTGAATTCGCGTATTATTCAATATTTTCAACATTTCATTTATTCGTCATATTTTTGATTGAATTTACAACGAAATTAAATGAGCTTGGCATTTATATAATACTCTCGCATTCGTGAATTTACCATTGATGTCATTAAATTAACTCAATGTCCTCTACATATAATGCAAATATGTTGACCGTGCACATTTTACCGTCCAACTGAGAAAAAATAAATGAGTATCAAATTATACATCATGAATTCGAATAATAAAAAAAAAAAACAAAATTCGATTCAATAAAAGGAGAAAATCTTAATTAAGAAAATTGTATATGAATTCAATTGAAAAATGAACAATTCTATTTTGAAAGTGAATTAATTAAAAAGGTATGCGTATTAAAGTATCACTCATTTATAATAATCCGCTAGCCCTCATATAATTTAAAAAGTCAGATTTACTATGAATATTTCAAACACATATAATATTAAAATTCAAAATTTGTTACACCATAAACTAAATTTAAAAGTGCAAAACAAAATTTCACATTATTACAATTTGTATTAAAATGGGAATGACAAAGTTTATGGCAACAATATACATAAACATAAATATTTTTTTAAGATAATTTGAAGGCGTTGCATATTAGCAAGTGACACACAATAGTTTTCTAATAATTTTTTAGTCAAAGGTCAGAAGGACAGTATTCGCGATAGCATTATTGATTATTGAAATTTTGAAATCAGCGATTCCTACTTGCTTATGTTACTATACTCAATATATCATATAAACTGAATTCTGTGACATAATCGAAAATTTGTATTTTTATTTAAAAAAAAAAATTATTGAAATATTCCAAAAAAATACTTTCTATTATTTTTATAATTTCTGAAACCAGTTCGAAAAAAAATCAACATGTTATTAGAATAACCGCAAGAAAAAATTATGTATTTTATTCCATAGTGAAGTACGTAAATGTATACTTAAAGATTATAAACCTACATTAACTTAACTTTCATAATTATTGTATGTACTTGACGTTTAAATTGCTAAATATAAATTGACATTAGCTTCAAACTCTTATATAGTATGGTATGACTTTGACTGCTTTTTTAATCATTTTTTTTTGTATAATTTAACATCATTATTGTAGCCTAATTGTATAGTAATACAGTATTATTACTGCAATAAATGTCAAGGATATTTTTTGAATTGGTATGAATGACAATTTCGTTATTTGAATCAAACAATTATACAAATGCATTTTAAAAATTATAATTAAATTTTAAAAAAAATATGAATTTTTTCGAAAAAATTAATATTTTTATTAAAAAGATAATTGTAATAATAATTGCATTATATTCTTTTTATATATATATAATGTACTTATTGTATATAATTACAAAATGTGTGATATATACACATACATGGCCAAGACAATTTTATAATACACAAAAGTACATAATAACCCCACCACTTCTATATATAAATTAGATCAAAAACCTCTTTTATTTAATAAATTAAAATTTTAAAATTAGTTTCCTCTCTTTTCTTCTTCATCTTTTTTTTTTGTTATATTTAGTTTCAAAATTTGACGTTTCCGGTTTTAATAGCATGCCCAACATTCAAATCTAATATACATATGTAAGTTTTCTAGAAATTAGAAAAAAAATACATTATTTTCATTGAAATTTTATTTTTCCCACAAAACTTTATAAAAATATCTCCCACCTTACATACATAAAAACAGAATATAATTATGAATTATAACATTATTATAAACATACACATACATATATATATTACATACAAAAAACATAATTATATCCTTTTTGTTTTTAATATATAATTTTAATATATAATAAAACAAAAGAAATTTTCTCCCGAATCTAATTAAAATATAATTTTGTATAACACTTTAATATTACAATATTATAAATTATTTTATACAAGAAGGCATACACATGTGTACATACATGTGTCCATAGATATATATAGGTACTATTATTACATACTATTCTTTACATTTTGTATTCTTATATATATATATGTATATGTTTAAAATAAATATTTTACATTTTTGCTTTTATATTTTTATACATCCGTATTTTAATAGTTTCCCTGTAATAAATTTTTTTTATACATAACGGCACATATACTATTATAATATCTATTATATAATATGAAGGCATTCATTTTTAAAGTTTTATACTTATATAGTAAAAAAAAAAAAATTTCACTATCCCTTCATAAATCATAAGTAAAAAATATAACAATAATTTTTCTTCTTTTATATGGAAAGGTACTCATCACAACATTTTTTTTTTCAATTACATTACAGTATTATATACAAATCTTTTATACGTATAACAAAAAAAAAAAAATTTGTATAACAGTTTTGTGTTTTTTTTTTTAGTATACATAAATAATAATACTTGTTTGATAAAAATATAAAATTGTTATACAATAAATTTTTTTCTACTTTACTGAAATTTTTCTGTTCGAAATATAACAAAAAAAAAAAAAATATTTTTTGAAGAGACCTAAAAAAAAAGCATGCGTAAATCAATGTTTTTTTTTTGTTTTTTGTAAAAAAGTAAAGAAAATAATGGTAGATTTTCTTGGCAATTTTAAATAAATGTTATTATTATACAAAAAAAAAACTGATATACATATGAATACACATGTGTATATGTTTGTATTCCTTCAATCCTGCACAAGATTTAATGCCGTTTAAAAGAGGTTTCTGCGCAATAAAGAAAATCGATTCTTTAGTAGCTGATTTTTTTCGAAAGTTTTCGGTTTGATAAAGTTTCCAGTTTGCTGCTAAAAATATCTTTAAAAAAAAAACCAATATAATAAAAATAATAAAATTAATTTCATTAAAATTCATTTAAAGTAATCTATTGATATTAATAGTTATAAAATTAATTATAATAAATGAAATTCTAATATTAACGATATTTAAAGTGAAAAAATAAATTTTACTCAAGTTTTGATTGGAAAATCTACGGCGAGACCTTTTTTTTTTTTACTTTTTACTTTTTACTACATATACACTCGTTCATATATGAGAGGATACATAATATATTATGTTAAAAAATTTTAATATTTTTTTCTTGTTCGCAATTAAGAATATTTTTAAATTAAAAAATTTCTGAGAATCAAAAACCAAAATATATGAGAGAAAAATGAAATAAAATTTTTGAATAATAAAAAAAAAAATTTCAAATATAAGAAATTAAAAGTGTAAATAAATTTTCCATGCATAATAAAAAATAAAATATTAAAATTGCAATCAATTTAATTATAAAATATTTAAAAGAAACTCTTAAATAATAAAAGAATTTAATTTTTATTTAAATGTTTAAAATAAACAACAATTTGTAGCATAATTTTGGTTTTTTTTTTTTGTATTTCTTTTAATTGTAAAATTTGAAATAAGGAAAAAAAAAATTATTTAATTTAAATACAAAAACTTCATTAATTTTTTTTTTATTTATTTATTTTTATTTTCGTTCATATAATTGAAAATTAATATAATAAAGATTTAAAATCCTTTAAATAAAAAAAACCAAAAAAAAAAAAAAAAATCAGACCGAAAAATAAAATGGGTACCGTGTTAAGTTTTAGTCCTCGTGAAAGACGTCCTGTTTACTCCACCCATCATCATAATAACCACCATCATCATCATCATAATCATCATCATCATAGTAATAATGGTACTGGAAGTGGTGGTGAAAGTGCAACTGGCAGCTTAAGTTCATCAAATTCAGCTGATTTTCCATTAAATAATTTCTCATATGAACAGCTCAATAATGCAAAAAATCGTGAAAATACAAAACCAATTATAACATGCCATCAACAAATTGTTAGTAATAATAATTTAAATAGTAATAACAACAATAATAATAATAATAATGGCAATAACAATAATAATAATAATAATGTTGTATTAAATCATCATGGAGGAAATAATCAAATAACACAAAATAATCATACAACAATTATTAATAATAATAATATTAACAATAATAATAATAATCACACAATTAATAATATTAATAATAATGTTAATAATAACATTAATAATAATACTAATAATATTAATAATAATAATAATAATGGTAATAATATTAATAATAATACAACAACAAATATTAATATTAATAATATTAATAATAATAATAATAACAATAATAATAATAGTAATAATAATAATAATACAGATCGTGCCAATGATAGTGCTAGAATTTTATCAGAAAAAAATGCACTTGAAAAAAATTTAAAAAAGCATTCAATATTTATAAATGCATTATCATGGAAACGATTAGCAGCATCACATGGTAAAAAGAAATTTGATAATAATAAAAATAAGGCTGCTAATTTACCAACAGCAAATTTTCGGCCACCATTAGTTGATGCAATACATCCATTAGCTGTTGATAAAAATAAAAATATACAACAATCTGTAACGCAACAACAACAACAACAACAGCAGCAGCAACAGCATCAACAATCACAGCAATTACAACAACAGCAAAGACAAGTATATTTTACACCAAATGCACCAAAAAGCTCATTATTAGCATTAGATTTGGTTAGAGCAAATAATACAAATTCAACGCAACAAACAGATAAATTAGCGCCAAAGTTGCCTCTGTCCCTTCCAATGCCAATACCTTTGCAAAATACAATTGCACAACCGCAACATAACCATGGACCTAGAAAAACAGTTATACAGGTATAATCTTTTTTTTTTATTTTTAATATTAATAATAATACAATAACTATAAAAGCCAAAATGTTGTAAGTTGTCACAATTCGAAATTAATTTAAAATGTTGTTTACAATAATAAAAGTCAACAGCTTGTATTCTATTAATATCGTCTTTTCTAATGTCTAATATTATATGAGAACTTTTACAACAACAAAAATTCTCTTAAGTTGTTAGAATTTCTATAAGAGTAAAGATCATTTAAAACGTTTTGGTTTACCGTTATACAGGAATAATTAAATTCATAAACAATTATTGTATATACCTATTGTTGTATGTATAACATATATTTGTATATCATAAAAATTACGACAAAACAAATAATAAATAAAAAAAAATCATTATTAAATTATTTTACTTTCAAATATTTACTTTGAGTTTTCATAAAATATTTAAAAATTTTCTGTACATTAACATTTTATTTTGTGATATTGAATGTGGTGTGCACGTTCTACATTCATTGTCACATCATTATTATTACAACATTTTGGACATTATTCAAATACAAAAATCAAATTAAAAAAAAACATTTTTTTTTTGACAAACTTATGTAATATAAAGATTAAGCTTATCCTGGATTATTTATTCTTATGTTTTATTATATTTTTTCTCCAAATATTTTATTAACAAGAAGAAGAAGTAATGAAAGAAAAACAAGTTGGGGGGGGGGGGGGGGGGGCAGTGGAACATTACTTAATTCTCAGAATTCTAACGATATATGTAGGCACACTGTATACAATAATAGTAGAATGGAAAATGAATTTATTTATATCGTAAAAGAAAATTAATATTAATTGAAAATTTTAAATTAAAAACTTTTTTATTTAATATCTCCCGTTCCGACAGGATAACAAGAGGTTGTAATTACATATTCAAATATTAATAAAATATTTTAAATTTTTAAATTATGCATACATGCATACAATTATAATAATAATAAAGTAGAAACACTTATGTTTTATAGTTTCTGTTCTGTTTCAAAAACAGAAGAAAAAGTTTTTTTTTTTATATTGAATTATTTTAATATTTAATCATTGTATGTGTATGAAATATATAATATATAGATGTATATATACTTAAACATACACGAGTAGGTTTACATTGTAATATATGAGTATGTATGTATATAAGAGCTGCATATGCGTAAATTTATATAAGTGGTATAAAATATTCTATAATGAAATTCAATTATCCATGTGAGAATTAGATTATTTTTGAATGAAGAAAAATGTTTAAATTTATTTTAAGTTTTTAGTTTTTTTTTTGAAATGAACACATATAACTAAACAATATTATTATTACACAAAATTTTGAAGAATTAAATCTAGGTATAGATGCATAAATAAGCCCTTGTTTTTTAGAATAAAAAACTAATTTTAAATTCTCATTTTTGTCAAATCTTATTTCTTTTGCTCTTAAATTCCCTAAATAACCTTTTACATTCCAACACTTCTCTCAATAATAACAGAATATACAAAATTTATTTTTTATTATTAAAATATAGCTACTTGAATTATTGTTCAAATTTATCAAAGTTTAATAGTCACAAAACCTTAGAAAAAGAAAATTATTAAACAGTTTTATACTTACCTATATTTTTGACAAGACTGATAACTCAAATTGATCCAGTATAATGTAATTGTATTGTTGAATTCATTCAGTTGACATTAAATTCACGTCTTAATATAGACGCCTTGAAATTATTATTTCAAATCAATATACGTTTAAGTAGGCAGACGCCTTGAGTTTATTATTTTTCATATAAAAGTTACTAAAGAGGAATGATAGTTGAAATTAATTTTAATTTTCAAAGACTTGAGGAACACTATCGAATGTTTGTATATTGAATAGTTTTCACTATCGATTGAACGAATATTGAACATACATATTTCAGTATCGAATATATCGAAAGTTCTATTTTGCGTAATATGTACTTTATGTAATTTAAAATTACCAAGCTTGTTTGTTTTGAAAACAAGTTTGGTAATTTTAAAATTTTAATGTTCACAAATATTAAAATTCAACGAATTTAAACAATTTCGTTTTTCTTTCAGTTCACAATTTAATGTACGTACGAAATGAAAGTTGCAACGTGTAAAATACGTAACTTACTGTACGTTCAATTTTTAACATTTAAAAATTGCAAATTCGTGTAAAGTATTTTTTTTTTTTGTATTTTTGAGTTTTTGTCAGTTGCCACTCGTTATTTATGTTTCATAATTGAACAGTAAGCTCGCATCAATTTTGGTATACGTCGGAATATAAACACTAATATTAGTATGTATATAAATGGTAGCTGTATGCGGTACGCGTTTTTTCGGTTATTCATGATGAATATGTAGTTTCTGCACAAACAATTAAAAAAACTAGTCAGTGTGATGTGAAATTTCATGATGTTAGAAGAGTGTTACTTTCTGTTGCATTTAGTTTCCCAGAATATTGTCAATTTGAGTTGGGAATTATTATTCGTTTATGTTGTTGACATGTTGATTATATTATCGTGTGGTTTCGTACAACAAAGAAGAAATCTTTTTTAAAAGGAAAAATTAAAAATTTTCGGTAGAAAAAGGAATATCGAATATATCGAATATATTCAATTTTACATATTCGAATATTTAAAATGCATAAATTTTTTGTAACAATTCAAATTATTCGGTAGTTCCCATCACTGTTTTTAAAGTAACTTGGAAATCAGTTCTCTTGCCGTCACTCGGCTTCCATGTTTTAAATCATAAATCTAGCTGAAAATCAAATTATGTTTAAATTAATTTTTATTCAATCTCGTATACTTTAACAAATGGTTAATAACATTTGCAGGATAAAATATAAATCTTCACATACACAAGGACATTTTGTAGTTTTATTAATTTGAAAGCTATATACTGAAAATATCAAATATTTGATGTTTATCTATGTACATATATATGTATATTCGAGTTATTTATTAAAAAAATGTATAAATTATAGGCATCGACATCTGAACTTCTTAAATGTCTTGGAATGTTTCTTCATGATCGTTGTAAAAAGTTAAGAGATTTCCAAGCTGGTGACGCTGTTATGTGGTTAAGAGCTGTAGATCGAAGTCTTCTTTTACAAGGGTGGCAGGTAAGTAATTTATCATATACTTACGTATATTCAATTTAATTATGAATTAATTTCTAATTTAAAGTTTTTTTTAGTTTAATTAAAGTAATTCAAACTTTTTTTTTACTGAACGAAAAAGAAATATTATGTAGGAGGAATATGAAAATTAATTACGAAATTTATTTTTGGAATTAAATGTGTACATATTTTTTTCGAATTAATTATTATAGTGAAGATAAATATTATACAAATGAAATTTAAATTGTTCCTTTTTTTTATTTTTAGGATGTTGCCTTTATTAATCCAGCTAATGTAGTTTTTGTTTATATGCTTGTAAGGGAATTAGTAGATGGTGATGAAACTAAAGAATCTGAATTACAGGCAGCAGTTTTAACATGCTTATATTTGTCATACTCGTATATGGGAAATGAAATAAGTTATCCGTTAAAACCATTTTTAGTAGAAGATTCAAAAGAAAAATTTTGGGACAGGTAAGTTTAATTCAGCGATATATATATATATATATGCCTTCCTATACAGGAAGAAATAATATAGATAAATTCAATTTTAAGTTTATTTTAAAAAAATTTTTATTAGTTACTTTTGTAAGCGAACTTGGTCAAATTTTTCTCCCAAGAGACGATATATTTTGGGTACATACAATGAAATCTTGAAACTATAATAAGTATTTACCGGATTTGTTAAAACCAGAATTTTTCAGACAGATTTTCAAATATGGATGAATTATTCTAATTAGTAGCTCTAAGCTAAAGATAGTTAACAAGCTAAGCAAGTTTATTAAAATTTAGATTTATATATCTTTAAAATTTAATATACAGGATGATTCAATGATTAGTGCCTTAACAAATACCATCGTCTAGGCCCTAAATTAGATATTCAAAAATTAGTAAAAGTTTTAGGTAATTAAGGAATTAAAATTAAGGAATTTTCACAAAATTTTTACCTAACCAGGTTGCTTTGCTCATATAGCTTCCCTTCCAAAAAAGATAGAAGCTTCAAACAAACAGTTAACGTTTACGTTGTATACGGACGCACTTATATTTCAGAATGATAAACCAAAATTATTAAAAGAAAAGGTCTTGTATGTGCCTTGAAAATTAATCGTTATCAATCCATTTTTTATTTATTACATGCGGCATATGTGTGTATATTACAAAGGTTCAATAATTACCCCTTGACTCTAAATAATACTTATACTTACATACTTACATATATACTTTCTCATTTCAATAACAGAGCAAAATTTATTACATATTAAAAATTAAGACAAAATATCTATTTGTCTTATAGAAAGACAAAAAGGAATTAATAATTAATAAAATTTTTTTCAAAAGAAAAAAAGTAAAAATACAAAATATGTCAAAATAATTTTGGACACAATCAAAATGTCAGGGCTGCCATTTATATAACATAATAAAATTAATTTTGCTAAAATATTAATTTCTTTTTGAATACATTTATGTACTCGTACGTGCATATATCACATATGGGATGTCACCATATTTTTTTCATATATAACTGTAATTACAGTTTTACTGTTATAGCTACTTTTGTAATCATTCATAACAATATATTGTTGATGTTTAATATACGCAAGTACAAGGTCGTCAGTAAATAATATTGATGAAAACAATAATAATTTACATATAAGAATATGTATATTACTCATATACAATTACATACATATGTACATATGTACGTATGAACTTATGATAGGTGTATGAAACAAGTATTTTTAATGCTATATTATTATTATTTTTCTATAAAAAGTGTAATAACCATAAATATATTTACATACAATTTTTATACCAGTACATATTTGATTCATTATTATTTTGAAAAGAACAAAAAGAATATAAAAACAAAACGAAATTAAAATAAAAAATTATTGAATATTTTGCATTATAATGGAAATTTTAATTTAAAGCTAAAAAATTGATTCTAAATATTAAAATAAATAAAATTATGCGCATATTTTTATTTAAACAATTATTATTAAATGAGAAAATAAGAGAAATAAAAGAGTTGATCCGAAGATTTTTATCAAATATTTTGTACTCTTTGCTCAAGTATGTTAATGAATTTCAAGAAATAATTTTATATAGAAAGTTATATAGAAAGTAATTGAAGTTATATTTATATATTATAGAGTTTTCGTTTAAAATACTAATTCGAGGTTTCGTTAGTTTGACAAATAACAATGTTGCAGATTCAATTTCAATTTAAAAAATATTTTGAACACTAATAGCAATATTTATAATACAAAAATTCTCTCTCTCTTTTCTTAATCCTCATTTCCTGTTTCCTGTACACCAATAAAATAAAAAAAAAAATTTAAAGAAGCATTAAATAGAAATTCGATTTGTTTCTGGTATAATATGATCATGAATATTAATCATTCTATTCGATATGAAGTTACGTTTAATTTTGTTATTAAATATAACTTACGCCTGAAAATGTTATCAAGACTGAGATACCTAATATTTATAATAAATTGCTTCCTTGTGCCCCATTCCCAATTTTTGTAGTGTTCGTTATTTGATTTTTTTTTCCCATTTATTAAAAAATTCAATATTTATTTTAAAGATTTTATTAATAATGTTTTTTTATTTTGTTTTTTTATTATTATTATTCTTATCTCTTTTAAGATGTCTTTTAATTGTTAATCGTTTGAGTGGCAATATGTTACGTATAAATGCTGAACCTGGTTTTTTTACTGAAGTATTTACTGAATTAAAAGGATGCGGAATGAATTCAAATAATAATTCAAATGGTTCAATTAATTGTGGTGCTGCTTGACGTAAAAATCCGCCACGTGAAGTTGTCGTTAGATTATCAATTGCTGGTCATCAACAAAAATATCAACATCAAACAATGTTACAAGAACTTACAAGTGTAGTATAAATGAAAAAACAACGCGTAAGAGACGAGACGAAACGAAATGCAAGATGTTATTAAAAAAAATATATATTAAAAAAATTAAATTAATAAAAATTAAGAAAAAAAAAATATTATATTATAATATTAAGACAACTTTTGTGTATACAAAACCAAAAAAAAAAGATAGAAAAAAAAATGAAAATAACAAAATATAAGTATATTTAATGAAAGTAAATTTCAAAATATTTATGAACGCCCGAAAGTATATAATATTTCAAAAAAAAAAAGAGAAAAATATTATGTAGCTATAAAAATAAGGAAAGTAAAAAATTTTCAAACTGAAATTTAAAATAAAAAATTTGTTATATTATTTTTAATCCTAAGGAATATGGAAAAAAAAAATAATTAAATTAAATTAAATGAAACTAAAATAATTGAATTTGTTTCAAAATAATTATTTTGTTGCTTTTTGTATTTATTGTATATAATATATACATATATATATACATACACATATTATGTAAATTAAAAATAAAAAAAAAAATAATGATATTAAATTATGTATATTAAAAAAATTGAAAAATATTTAAAATTGTAAAATTTATCTTAAGAAATTTGAATCGTTTTTCTTTTTTGTTTTTTCTTATTTGTTTTTTTTTTCAATTTCTATTTCATTGTAGTAGTATTCAAGTTTTTAAAGTTCGAAAAAATTGGCTCATATTTAATATACAATTAAAAATTATTATTAAATAATATTGAAAATGAAAAAAGAAAAAAATTATGAATAATCAATTAATTTATTAAAAATATTAAAATATTAAATAAAATAAAATTATATCGGTTTCAAAAAACTCAAAAATAAAAAAATTGAATGAAAAAAAAAAATATAAATTTTAAATTAAAGAAAATATTTAAATATTTAATATTAAAATTAAAATCAATTTGAAATTTCATTAATTAATTTTACTTTTATTATTTTTTATTTGATTTCTTAAAATATTTAAAATACTCATTTTATGGTATTGAATAAATACTTTGATATAAATAATTGAAAAATTTGCAAATGTCTCAATTAAGTATATATACATAATATGTATATAATTTCTGATTTAATATCCAAAATAATTTAAAATCATAAAATATGTAAGTGTGTCTATAAATTGGAATCCATATTTTAATTCAAAAATAACATCAATTTAACATAAATTTACAATACAGCAATATACAATTTAAAGTGTTAGACTAATCAAATTGATGTTAGATTTTTATATTAAATTTTTATTTATAATAATTGCCCTTATTATTTATTTATTTAATTTATTTGAATTTTTAAAATTTATTTTGAAAATTAAATTCTTTATAAATCATTTTTCATTTTCCATATTAAAATAAATAGAATAAGTTGTAATGTCAATTTTGAAAAAAAAAAAATATTAATAATAATTATAATAAAATAAAAACAAACCATTAGGTTATACTAATGTTTTATTTTACAATATATAAAATAAAAATTTCTATATTATTATCAAAATATTTTTCAAAATTTACATAGTATTATAATTATTATAAATAAATTAATAAAATTTATTTAAAACAAGTTATAAAGAAGATGAAAAGAAAAATATTAAGGGATTTTTTTTTTTCAAATATGCAATAATAAATTTAAAAATCATAAAAATTCTTATTATTTCTAATAAATTAAATTATTTTTAAAAGAACAAAAAAAAAATAATTAATAATTATTTTTTAATTTTCTTACATTTACTTTTTTTAACTATTTCTTTTCAAAATTTTTCTTCGTATATATAATTAAGGGCGTTCAAAATATATATATAGCTATAAAATAATTATACATAAGTATATAAATAAATTAAATATTATATAATATATAATTAAATAAAAATAAAAAATCGTTAAAAACAAATTTCTATGACTTGAAAAAAAAAAATGAAAATAATTTATTTTTCTGAATAACAAAAACCAAAAAGAAAAAAAAATTTTTTTTTACGTTATGATATTAAAATAAAAATGTAATATTGATAAAGAAAATAAATTTAAAATTCAAAATGAAAACCAAAAAAGAAAAACATTTAGAAAATTAAATTTAAATACAAAAAATATTATTGTAGATTTTAAATTTAAAAGTCTACACATATACATATATAAATTCAGGAAAATTTAACATAACAAAATACACCTATACACATACAATTAATTAAAATTAATTGAAATACTGGTATGCCTTTGGATGAATTGGTTTAAAATGAAAAATGTAGATATTAATTAATATTAATAATTATCGTATTTAAATAAAATATATTCAATACAATTATAATTTTGAAAACAAAAAATAAATTAATTACATTGTAAATAATTTTGAATGAAAAATCTTATGTAAAAGTTTTAAATAATTTAAATTCAAAATGGGAATTGTACATTTTGCCCGCGTAGCAATTTATTTCCAAAATAAGGAAAAATGACAGAAAAATAAAATAAGCTTTTATTTAAAAAAAAAAAAATTAGCAAATAGTGAGGATCATGTGAATGTACATTTGCTCTAAATTTTTATTTGTATATATATATATATATATATATGTACATAGGTACTATATTATATTTTAACTTTCTAACTTAAGAACTATATATTTTAATTTAATATCGTTTACAATATTTATGATATATATATATATATATATATATGTATTTTAGTTATTATAAAATCAATTTATAGAATAATTAAATTTATTAAAATTATATACATAATATTTATTTATTCATTCATTAATATAGGGTATCTACCCCTATTATACGCTCTATGTCCCAATATATGGTTGATTCAAAATCAACTTCACATATTCTTAGTATAATATAATTTCAATTATTGATTTTAGTTTCAATAATATTTTTAATAATTTATTTTATAATTGTTTTAGTATATTATATATATATATATTTTTTTTAAATATTAATTTTTATTAAATTAATAATTTAACGACAATTATATATTAATTATATTTATGCTTTTTTAAATTCTGTTAAGCAGAATTTTATTTAATGCAATAGCAATATAAAATAAAATTTAATAAGTATTATATATATACGCAATATAAATATTAATTTTAACGCAATTATTAATTATTATTACTGATTACTATATATAATGTTAAATGGATGATAATTTCAAGTGATCAGATAGTAGAAATTAATCATATCAAAAAATATTATGAATTTCAAATAATAAAATTTTCCTTTTTTTTTTTTTAAAAAATATGCTTTTATGTTTTAGAATTATTGAAAGGATAATTTAAAAAAAAATTAATTAAATTCAACATTTAATTATTTAATAATATTTATTATGTTTAATATAAATTAACATTAATAATTAAATAACTAAAGAAAATTTAATTTATTATTTTAATATTCAGACTTATTCTATTAGACGCGTCATATTTATGATTGTCACATTTGTGATTGATATTTTTATTATACTCTACAAGACGCGAAATGTGAGGTGACAGAAGCGAAACTAGATTTTTTTTTTAATGTCAGAAAATTAGAAAATTATTTTTTTTTTTGTAAATAAACTAGTGACTGACTAATAAATCTAAATAACATTAATACTTTTAATTAGAAAAAGAAAGATGTATTCGAGTTTTTATTTAGTTTTTGGATGAAAATAATTCGATTCAAATTTGAAATTGCTGACAATTAGTTATTTTTACACTATGGTATTAACAATATTAATTAATATTGCTATTTAAATATCTAATTTTATAATTAGATCTTCTTCATTTCATTTATAATTTTTAGTTTTAAAAAATGCTTCTAGTAAAAAAACATTCGGCACATTTTATGACAAATAGTTAGACACGCTTCTATAATAGAAATCAAAACAAATCTGTCATCTCACACATTTTTATGTCTGGTTAGATGCGTCTATAATACAACAAGGCAGATTTATTTAAAATTAATATACAAAATTAATTATAAAACCAAATATTTAATATTTAAATATTTGTATGTTTTTTTTGTCGAAGTATATTTTTCTAATTTGTTTTATGTACAGTTTTATGTAAATACTTTATTCATAATATTAATAATGTTTTTATTAATATTAGTAATATTTTCAATTACACCAATTATATGTTCATTAATTTACATATAATTTAATTAAAATAAGAATATATAGAGAAACTTTTGGTTTTCTTAAAAAAATCTCTTTATACCAACTTATCCGAGGTCATACTGTATTTTATATATATATATATATATATATATATATATACGTATGTATTTATATATATAGCATATAATAAACAAATTTAAATATTAATAACTAATATTATTATAATTTATTGTTTCAGTGTCACGATAATGACCGCTAAATATTATAATATAGTCAAATACTTAAATAAAAAAAATTATGTATAATAATACACAATATATATATATATATATATATATATACATAAATATTAAAAAATAAAAATATAAATACAATTTAAAAGAAAAAATGTATATTATATGTAATTTTAGTTATAATAATTAATTAATAAACAGAAAAACAATGAGAGAATAACCATTATTAAAAAAGACAAAAAATAAATGATAAAATTTAAATAATAAAATTTACTTACCAAAAAAAAAAAACAAAAAAAAAACTATATAAAAAAAAAAACAAAAAAAAAAAAAAATAAAAAATTTCAAATTCTTGTTTGAATAAAACATAAAAAATTAATGAATTAATTATAAAAATTTAATTATTATATTAAAAATAAATGGTTTTTAAGAAAACCAATAAAATATAGGTAAAATATTAAAAAAGAAAAATATAAAAATTTGAAAAATTACGGAAAATGAAAAACCAAAAAATTTACCATTTTATAAAAAAAAAATAAAAAATAAAAATTATTATTTTAATTTTTCAGTTTGCAAACTAAAAAAATAAACTTACTAAATACTAAACTCAAAAAAAAAAAAAAAAAAAACACAAAACAAAGATCCATATTTTAAAAAACCAAAATTAACAGTGAAAAAATCCAAAAAAAAAAAAATTAATTAATAAATTAAATAAAATTCATAAACAGAAAATTTTATAAATTCTATATACATTCATACATTCCATACAAACACAATACATCCATACAGAATTAAATAAAGCTTATGCATGTATGTAACATAAACATATATATATAATATATATGTATAATATAATTTACATACACTTAAAAATGTAAAAGAAAAAACAAAACAAATTTTGATGAATAATTTAAGTTTACCGTATTTTGGAAGTAGAACTCTCAAAAAAAGAAAACTCATGACATTTTAACTGTTGTATT